GTTATAATTGTGATTACTATTACTGTTCATAGTTGGTCACTGGACACAGTTATTGCTATCATTATTGTCATTATTATGATCATTGGTGATGATGGTGATAATACTGAATTAATGTTGCTTTGGACTGAATAGAAATTAACACCCTCACTACACACAGTCACAATCATACTTGTATTTTTTTTTTTTACCAACTGTCTTGTCTGCAAGTTTCCTAATCTATCCTGCTCTATTCTGTATGTTGTACATTTCATAATAATAATTTAAAAAAAAACAACAACAACAGAATTTCAGCCTTTATTTAGTTTAGCTGCTCATGGATAAACATATGTTTTCAGCCACTGAAAACACATCTGCTTATCTGTAAGTAGCATCAAGAATTTCTTGATGATGGCTTCTAGACTATAGAAATCATCATCAAGAATTTCTACATTGCATTACAATTTTTTCAACTGGTGCCTGGGTTAACTGCATCACTGGTCATGGCTTGTTATTGGAGGGCACCTGTCCATACACACTTCAGAGGGTGGGGTAGAAATTCTAGGGGTTTTTGTTTGAGTGTGTGCGCTTGGTCAGGTGTGGGTCTAGGGCACACTGGGCCTTGATCCCTTTGGGATATTGTTATTAAGGCTAGATAAGACCATATGTCTGCTTGCTACAACTACTGGACAAGACAGGTTTAAAAAAATAAATATGAAATCAGTCAAAAAATAAAACTGCTGGCCTACAAAGCTGCTGCCTTCATCTGCAAACTGACCTACATGCTGAACTACAAACTCCACCCTCTACTGAGAACTGAAGAAGTCATCACTGTTATTTTTCTACAGCTGATCGCTGAAAACATTCAAACTGACTCATCACGGAGCCTTTTTTCCTTTGAATTCTATAAACCTGCCTGTAAACAGCAGCTGAAACTTCCAGAAGAAGTAGACAAAACACTCAACTTGAAAATTCTAAATAGAAGTAAAAACATGAACACTGTCTTCAATCATCTCTTATATACAGGTTAAAGATAGTCTACAGAGAAAATAATCACTTACACCTGCTTAGACAGATTTAATTTTAACACACACATACTCATAAACACTAACAAGAGGAAAAGTGTTTAACGGTTGGTCCAACACTGGTCATTGGTCGAGCTCTAAGTCCATTACTGTGAACTATGGAGTGGCAGATTTGTGCTGGAACTAAGCTGCACAAAGCTGATGTTAGCCAGGAAAACATTACAAGCTGCTTCCATTACCTTCACATGGAGTTTCACACAGAGTTGATCAGCATCAGTCACAACAAACAGGAAGTTCAGGAAGGTGAGAGTAAACCTTGAGCAGGGCGGAAAACACAGAGAGGCGTCCACAGACCAAGATCACAGCAGTGGTGTGTGGCGACTTCTACAGAAAGGCAAGCAGTGATCATGCTCACCCCACCCCTAATACGCACCAAAAACCCCTCATCTTCCTTATCATCTCATCTTGCTTCACTATTGAGAAATTTAACAAGATAAACTGGATCCAATTAACCCTTACCTTTTGTACATCTTTTAGTTTTTTTTGGTTTGTTTTTTTTGATTTAGCTATCATTTTGGCTGTGTTATAGCTTGTAGCATGGATGTTTGCAGGAAAATTTCTTTTTTGTCAAATTTTTGGAATTAGAACACAGAAATTATGTGGTTACAGTTCCTCCAAGACAATAAGAACAGTAACAGACTGAACTAAATGAAATAATACAATATAGTAAAGTTATAAAATATAAGCAATAGTTCTAATTTATATAAATAGCTCAGTGGTAAATATCCAGAATCCCACAAAGAGGGTGCAACTACTGCTGTGTGTACTGTGCATTAGATGGAGGAGTTGTACAGGAAGACTTCCTGTGAGTCTTTCCAGCTTCCTGTCATATTCTACTGTAGAATAGCAGCAGAGCTCTGTGCTCCCTTTCTTCCTATTCTCTCCTTTCCTTCCTCCCTCTCTCTGTCTCATCTCCTCATTTTACTTCCTTTTTCCTTTCCTTCTTTAATTGTATGCTTTCTATTTGGACACAATCGTGCATTTGTTCGTTTAGTAAAGTTCATTATCTGTACTTGTAACACTGTTATAAATCTGTAACACTTTGTTCTTCACTTTTTTTTCCAAAATCTTTTAAAATGATAAAATTGAATGAAGTCTGTGGAAACGTCTCCACGTCAGGTTTCGAGGACGCCGTCCAAACCATCGCTGGGCGGAGCCTCATCTCATCATTCTCCATGGAAACAGAGTCATCCATAAGAGATGAAGCTACAGCCTTTAACACAACAAGTAAGAGTATAAAGCAAAAAACAGCTGATTTACTTTATTAAAGTTGTTTCATTCATTAAGATTGAAATTTGGGATTTTTTTGACTTTTAAACTAAATTTGACTCTGTGAACTTTTTGATTTGAAAGAGCAGATGAAAAGTGAAATGTGTAAAAAGCTCTTTAATTTTGCTGTGAAACAAATGTTTAGAATACTGATAAATGTTTTTATGGTTTGGGCCTTTAATGATAATGTGATGATAAACATGAATCAGGAATGATAGGCTCTTCCTTTCTGCTAATAATAATCAATGGCCTGTATTTATATAGCGCTTTACTAGTCCCTAAGGACCCCAAAGCGCTTTACATATCCAGTCATCCACCCATTCACACACTGGTGATGGCAAGCTACATTGTAGCCACAGCCACCCTGGGGCGCACTGACAGAGGCGAGGCTGCCGGACACTGGCACCACCGGGCCCTCTGACCACCACCAGTAGGCAACGGGTGAAGTGTCTTGCCCAAGGACACAACGACCGAGACTGTCCAAGCTGGGGCTCAAACCGGCAACCTTCCGATTACAAGGCGAACTCCCAACTCTTGAGCCACGTTCGCCCATCAGCATCATAATAAATGTTGCTTTCCTCATTGGGACTTCAAGCAGGACAATAATAAATGGATTTCCTGAACTAAGCTTCCTGCTTTGATGAAAGATAAACACGAAGTTGGATTTGATGTTAAGGAGACTCTGAATGGGCCTTAGGATCTATAATTGTCCTCAGTTTCTTTCAGACAGTCAAATTGTCTTTGTAATGAATATTATACATCTATACTTTGCTGCATCAGCTCACCGATGAGATAGACAGCTGACTTTAAACACACATCCAGTTTGGACAGGTGGCTTACCTGCTGCTTCTAGGCAGGGAGCAACCAGGATACCCAGATGTATCAACTAGAGTCATCTGGGCTGAGCCTTGAAATTACTGAATGAATGTTTTTGATCCTAGCAATTCTATTTATCCCAAGCAGAAACACATATGTATAAAAGAAAATAATACCCCATCATTATTATTGTAGCTGTGGCCTGTGAAGACCATCAATGTTAAAGTCACGGCAGCTTTGTTTGACAGTGTGTCGAACAAACCTGATGACACCAACTCACAGAAAGCTTCAAGTCAACCAAACACTTCCAATGTCTGAGGGTTTTTTTTTCCAAAGCTGGTGAGAAGCCCCAAAACAGCTGAAACCTTGTGTGCTGATCACAACAACCACAGCAGTGTTTTCTGACTAGATTTTAGACTTTGAAAGAGGAGTGAAAGGAGCCATCTATGTCCACTGTGAGCGACCATCTTTGAACAGAGGCGGTGGTTTACGACACCAACTCTCTGCCATCTATAATCCAGTTTTGAGTTCCCTCCCCAGACGCCTTAATGCCCACCCACATCCTGGGCCATCTGACCTCAGGAATTCGCATGATAAGGTGCGGCCAGGTTTCACAATGAACTCACCCGAAACTCTGGCTGATTGGGACCCACACCCAGTTTTACACCTTGGCTCAGGCGATTAGAGGATCATCAGGGGGTCCTTTTGTCCCTCTGTGGGGGGGTACTCCCACTAGGTTTATATCTGGGACTCTCCACCATTTGACCTTAGAACTGAAGAAGCTTCTCGGGTGAGAGGTGAAACGTCTTCAAGTAACTTAAAGAAGTTCAGACGCTTTTCTTTGCAAGCTCCTTTGACTACGATGACCTGGATGACTGAGAACCTTCACAGACATAGATTTTAGACATGAGTCTGAATTACTAAATTACTGAGCAGCTGAAACAGCCTCACACATGCAATCAGAAGGAGGAAAAAGTATTTGCTAAAACACACTTTCTTCTCCCCAGAGTGTGCTATGAGCATTAAGGTCTCTACATCCTCTGCGCATCAGAGGGTCCTGCAACGTAATTAATATGCATAATTTTTGTAGACATTTCCCTTGTTGCCAGGTTTCAAAAATGTTTGTTTTGATTTTTGTGAATGAATTGCTTTCATGACTTATCCAGTGATGCTACTGACCAGCCATTCGGTGGCATGCAGTCTGACAATGTCACATTTCAGTACCTTCTCGGTCTTAAAAAAAAAAAAAAAAAAAGTACCTCGCACCAGGTATGTGGAGGGGCATGGTCTGAGGCACACCTGTGAGGGAGGCAGACGCACTTGGACGGACGTCCACAATAATGCCTCACCACCATAAAAAGTCTGAATTAGGTCCTGGGGTGGTTGTTGGTATGTGCCCGGCCGTGAGATGCAGAGCTATAGCCGAGTTTTGTGTAACAGCGACTGCAGTTACTGAAAGTATGCTCAAAAGCAGGAGTATGTGGACGGGTCTGTTGTGGATCTTTCACAAGGTACAAGAACCTAATGGAAAACTGTGAAAATTGTGGCGACTGTGCAGAGTCAATCCAACTAGGTAATTGACAAGGGGCTATTAGCGTCAAAATGATTCGGTCTCAGTATTTCATTCTGATGAATCAAATGTGTCAGGGTTTAAGTCAAAGCAATCGAACTAAACTCATGTGATTAAACTGTAAGCTGTTTGAACCTTTTCATCTTTCAGTGAAAACTAGATGGCGTCCCAGGTCTCAGTATGGCCGTCTGTCAAAAAAGCTGAATAAATTCAATTCAAATATAGATCTTTGAATTCATACATAGTGTAAAATGAATCGTCAACACAAAAGTAAGTAAGACCCACTACAGGAATGTTTAGTCAGATCTGGGACTGTACCCTTCAAACCACTCTGTTCTGCTGTTGCTGCAATAGAGACCGCTATAAACTGGTATTTTCAAAAAGCTTGGATTCAAAATCAAACAGCAACATATGATAGAGATTAATGAAATCATCAAAAACAGGAATTACATCAAATATCACTTGGTAAACTCAGTGATCTGTACAGGCAGAAGGTAGCTTAAAAGGCTCTTTAGAGAGGAAACTTTCCTTTATGGGAAAAAAAACGTCTGTCATCAATTCCTCTTCATTTTTGATGCAATGTTTTATTACAACCCCCCCACCCCCAAAAAACCTAATGTCTATCACCAAATTACACCAGATTCACCACCAGAACTTTGAACTTTGTATCAAACTTGAAAACTATCACAAACTAAACAGATACACAACATATCCAATTCTATACAGGCATATTTATATATTTATATAAATATTATAATAAAGCCGTTACCTACATAGTGTACCAAATTCTACCTTGATATGTCTTTGAGAAAAAGGGAAGACTAGTTTCAATAAGTTAATGCAGTCTTTGCAATGTATTAGATATGTTATTATAATGCATGCCACTTAATACAAACATATTATGGTCAAAACCCCATTAAAAATTACTTAGCCAATACTTTCCCCTTATGTCTGAAACATTTTCAAAAATGATTGAAACAGTAAGAGCACGTGGACAGTGTGGAAAAATCACACTAAGAAAGAGAAATCAAACATTTTCACGAGCTCAGACTTGTTGAAAATGCAGAGGAGCTGGTTGTAAACTAAGCTTCAGGAACAAACATTGTACTAATATTCACTGTAAAGCTTTGAGTTGATAAAGACAGAAAAACAACATAATCGTAGCTTCCATCTTTAAAGGACTGAAGAGGAAAAAGTTTACAAGGAATCATTTAGAACAGTTTAAAACATCAACTGATTGAATCCGTGAATCTGAAAACATGTTTCTGAGTAAAAGAGACAGACATGTACAGACTGAACTATCTGTTCAACAGTCAGAGTGTTTCTCTAACAGGGGGACACTCTTTATACTCAACTTGGCAAAAAGACACTGAAGCACCAGGCCAAACATAAAAACCAGGATAAAGAGGTTCAGTGAATGTGGTGTTGAAGGTGTGGAGGTGGATCAGAGTGTGAGAGGAGACTATGTAGTAGGACAGAGTGCCAGCAGGCCAGTCCACATACACTGCTACTCTGTTAGAGACGGAAGGGGAGGAGGAGATGGACTTTGATTTGTTATTATGCCAGATATGACGAGGACCATCATCAGAGCACCTCAGACTCCAGGACTGCTCATTAAATCCAAACAAACAATCTGTACTGTCTCCTTTCCTTCCAATTCCTCTGTAACTCACTGATATATGAACGTTTCCTCTCCAGTCAACCTCCCAGTAATAGCGACCAGTCAAACCATTTTTACACAGCAACTCTGGGCGGATATCAAATCTGTCTGGATGATCCGGATATGAATGAACTTTGTCCACACCTGTCACCTTCCTGTTGTTTTCAGACAGTTGGAGTTTTCTGTTTACGGTGTTTGTGTCGATTATGAGTTGACAGGAATCTGATGGAGAGAACAAACACAATCCAGCTGCAGTTATTGATCCATCATCTGTTTATTGATTGACACTTTCATGATGACTTCTGACATGAGAGATGTGAATGAGTGATGTGACAGTTTGAAGAGGTTGAATGTGTACTGCTTTGTTTTCATGAATCACATTAAAAAGACACTTACACTTCCTCAGACCTGGTGTCAACCATTGGACTCCAGCAGGCTCCACCCTGAAAGGAGGAGGGAGGTCAGTCCAGCACAGTCTCTTTCAGCATGGACACATGGACATTACATCACTCTCATCCACGTACTGTTAGACACTGATAGAGGAACAGTCCAATATTTTCACAAATACACTTCAATCCATACCTGGATCAAATTCCTGATGATTTGGACTGATCCTGAATCTTTCAGTGCACCACTGTATTGAATGAAATATGACTGATTCAGACTGTGACCTTCATTATCTTTATATTCCCCTTCTGTTTAGCTGGAAAGGACACCTCCCTGCTCTGATTCATAAACTTTAATCTGATTTAATTTATAGTGTTTAACAGGCCTTTTACAGTTGAGTAACAACGGTCACTACAATGTGTCTGGAAAATACATTCCAATCAAAACGTTAAGACCACTTGAAAAATGGGAAAAAGGGCATCTACTGCCTGGAACTGTTGTCCTTTTTTTTTTTTTTTTTTTTTTTTTTTAAATAAACTTCCCTTGCCATCCATCTCGAAAGGTTTTCAGTTGGATTTAGATCAGGGGAATACACAGGGTAGTCCAAAAGAGTGATGCTATTCTTCTAGAAGAAGAACCTTCTCCTGCAGGCATTGTGTACTGTAGCGTTGTCCTGTTGAAAAACCCAGTCGTTAACACACAGATGAGGGCCGTCAGTCATGAGGAATGCTCTCTGCAACATCTGGACATAGCCAGCGGCTGTTTGATGCCCCTGCACCTCCTGAAGCTCCATTGTTTCACTCAAGAAAAAAAAAAAAGCACCTCAGACCATTGGCGCTCCCTCCACTATGGCATGTAGAAAACATCTCAGGTGGGATCTGTTAATCATGCCAGTTACGTTGGAAACCATCAGGTCAAGATAAATTTTTTTCTCATCAGAGAATAAAACTTTTTTCCACCTTTTAATGTCCCATGTTTAGTGCCCGCTTACAAAGTCGAAAGGGTCAGTTCTGGAAACGAGGCCTTTGAATAGGGGTGGGCGGTGTAAACGGTATACGGTTGAAACAATATAAATTTGGGCAACGGTAGAGATTTTGACTATACCGCTCTACCGCGATAGAGCATGTTGATGGCGTCATCAAGCTGCGCCTGTTTTGCTCGAAAGCAATGTAGCGGCTACAAACAACATCATCTGCAAATTATGCCGGGCGACAGTAATCGCAAAGAGACGAAGCACTTTTGGAAAATGAGGAAAGCCGAAACCTAAGCTTCGTCCACTTTCCTACCATTGATTCATTAATGCTGAATTCTCTCACAGCTGCTCTATTCCCGTGTTGGTGCAGTATATTAATGACTAACCTCGTATTGTGGCTGGATTATCTCAGCTGTTCTCCCGACTGAAGTTTGGTCCGTTTACAGCATCCTGCTATGTGATTGCCCCTAACCACCAGAAACTCTCACTTTAACTTTCATCGAGTGGAAAAAAGTTAGAGCTCATCCTCCAGCTTCACTGTGCTAATGTAATGCTAACATAGCTGTGTAGCTAGCGATCACGTAGCATCATTATATACCAGCTAGCCCAACTTCAGTAACCCTACAAACGTCACTACTGTTTAGTTTTCTGTCTTCATTTATGTTGAAAGTGATAGCAGAGCTGTACGTTTGAATTTTTCAGAAATCTCTCAGTCAGAACATGCAATATCATGTTTAGGTGGAAGCTAGCGAGCTAACTTTCTGCTAACTTCTAACTCTGTCAAATGTAATAAATTCTGTTTTCATGTATGCCTGGATGTAAAACTTAATCGTTACACCTGGTAAAGCAGCAACGCTGATTATTTTATTAAAGATGAAAGAATTTAGACAGTTTTTGACTCTCAGTGATGCTGCAGTGTTTGTTTCACTTTGGGACCTGAAGCAGATGGAGTTTTTCCTGACTACGGTAGCCGTAAATTTTTTCCCCCCACTCTGTCTGAAATTTTGTGGGGAGCCACCTGTTCATAGTCAGTTTCTAGTGAAATGATGTTCTTTCCACTTCTGGATTTATGGCCCCAACAGTGCTCCAGCATTTTAGAAATTCTTCTGTAACCAATGCCATCAGTATACTTTCCAACAATAAGATTGTAAAGGTCTTGAGAGAGGTTTTACCCATCATGAAATGTTTCTTTTGTGACACCTTAGTAATGAGATGCCATTTTATAGGCCATTAGTTGGGACTGAACCAGATGATATTAATTTGCATAAAGTGGTAGGACTGCTTTGTTATTATTGATAAATTTAGATTTCAGCTGGTGTCGTAAATTTGCATGTCTTTTTGCACCTTCCTTTCTTCATGCGTTTCATACTTTTTCTTACCCTCTGTAATTTCTCTTATTACATTTCGTCCATATTTACTGGCCTGTAAATAGACATGAAGTCCTAGCCTGATGAGGTAGCTCTTCTGTGTTGTACCATTCATTTAGCCAGAGCAGTTCCATATTTTAATATTTATTTAATTTTGAACTTTGAACGTGTTCAGTTGTTTGTGTAGGTGTATATTAGTATTTACATCATGATTATTAACTCACTGATTACAGATTAAATGACTTGCTAATGTGGAAATCATATCCACCAGAAGAGGCTTATTTTTGTTTGAGCTCTGAGTTTACATAATGCCTAGTATGTACAGAAAACAAAATTACATGGAAGGTGGTTTGACTGCAGTGAACTGCTGGTCTTTATCTTTCTGCTCCCAGTGAAAATTCTTTAATTTCACTCCATGGATTAAAATAACATTAAAAATATTTTTAAATTAAAATTAAACTGTTTCCCCACAATGGAACCAGAGGAGGAACCACAGTGAGACAGTAAATAAAGCAAACATAAACCTTCTCAATCATCATGTTTTGATGAGAACAAAAAGTGGGATAACTGTACATAATAATTTAAAAAAATCCTTAGCAGCACCAAAAGTTCTGACTGTGCTAATACTAAGCTTACATACTAAGCTAAGCTTAAAATGTGCCAAGAATGCAGGTAAAGCTGCTATTAATACTAATCATTAACTATATTAAAAGAAGGAAAACTATACAAATGTAACTACGTTAAGATCTGTGTAGTATGAAAACTATTGTAGATAGATCTGTGTAAATAAATTAATTTACACAGATCTATCACCCTTTCAAACTGCTCATGAAGCACGTCATGACCTATTTGAAATCTGCATATATCATGTGGCGATGGCGCATTCTGAACCCCTATTTTTCTCTTACTTCTAAAAGGCTCTGGAATTAACAAAAGACAAATACAAATGCTTGAATTTGTTCAAGGAAGCAGGTAGGAACATTTCAACTCATCTATGAAAGTGAAGAATGACAGCTGATTAAAGGACCAGTCATTGCTCTACAGGGTGGGCCATTTATATGGATACACCGTAATAAAATGGGAATGGTTGGTGATATTAAAGTCCTGTTTGTGGCACATTAGTATATATGAGGGGGCAAACTCCTCAAGATGGGTGGTGACTATTTAGAAGTCGGCCATCTTGGATACAACTTTTTTTTTTTTTTTAGGAAGAGGGCTATGTGACACATCAAACTTATTGGTAATGTCACAAGAAAAGCAATGGTGTGATTGGTTTCAACATAACTTTATTCTTTCATGAGTTATTTACAACTTTCTCTTTGTTCACAGCCATTGACATGTCGAAGAGGTTAACACGTGAGGACCGGATCGAAATTGTGTTGATATCTGGTGAACGCAGTAACCGGGTCATTGCAGCAGATTTCAATGCAAGACACCCTACGAGACCACCCATCTCCCATGCTACAGTTAGCAAACTGCTTGCTAAGTTTCATGAAACTGGTTCAGTGTTGGATTTGCCAAAATGTGGACGCAAGAAAACTGTCACTAATGAAGAAACATCAGTGGCTGTCCTAGCTTCATTTAGCAAGAACCCACAGCGTAGCACTCGCCGCATGTCACTGGAGAGTAGCATTAGTCGAACATCCCTTTGGCGGATATTAGCTAATCACAAATGGCACCCTTACCAACTCCAGCTACTGCAGCATCTCAACGAAGATGACCCAGATCGGCGCACAGAATTTGCAGAATGGGCAAAACAAAAATTGGAACAGGACCCTCAGTTCACGCAGAAGATTTTGTTCAGTGATGAGGCAAACTTTTATGTGAATGGTGAAGTTAACAAACAAAACCACCGCTATTGGTCCGACACTAACCCACATTGGATGGATCCCTCCAAGACTGTTGGAACAACAAAAGTGATGGTTTGGTGTAATATATGGGGTACAACGATAGTGGGTCCATTCTTCATCAATGGAAACCTCAAGGCCACTGGATATTTGAAATTGCTACATGATGACGTGTTACCCTCTCACTGAAGCTGGCATGTTTCTTGAGTTTTTCCAGCAAGATGGTGCACCACCACATTATGGGTGCCAAGTCAGAGCATTCCTAGATGAACAGTTTTCTGGAAAGTGGATTGGTCGTTGTGGGCTAGTTGAATGGCCCCCAAGGTCTCCCGATCTGACCCCCTTAGAATTTTATCTTTGGGGTCATCTGAAGGCAATTGTCTATGGTGTGAAGATACGAGATGTGCAGCACCTGAAACTACGGATACTGGATGCCTGTGCTGGCATTTCTCCTGCGGTGTTGCTATCAGTGTGTAAAGAGTGGGAGAAGAGGGTTGCATTGACAATCCAACACAATGGGCAGCACACTGAACACATTTTATAAGTGGTCAGAAACTTGTAAATAACTCATGAAATAATAAAGTTACGTTGAAACCAAGCACACCATTGTATTTCTTGTGACATATTGTCACATGGCCCTCTTCCTATTGAAAAAACAAAAGTTGTATCCAAGATGGCCGACTTCTAAATGGCCACCATGGTCACCACCCATCTTGAGGAGTTTGCCCCCTCACATATACTAATGTGCCACAAACAGGACTTTAATATCACCAAACATTCCCATTTTATTACGGTGTATCCATATAAATGGCCCACCCTGTATATAATGTCATTGCTCTAACTAGAAAAACACCGGCAATGCTTAAAAACAGATAAATGATGACGGTCAGCAGACTTCCAAGATAATCAACATGTCATGGACATAACTGTGAAGTAGTTTGGGTCATTTGGGGGTGATTTTCTTCCCTACTAGTGGTGAGAAGACAAACTGCATGATGCCTTTAAAAGATTTAGGCTTTACATTAATGTGTATGAATTGGGTCCTGTTCCAGAAACAGGTTCAGTGAAAACTCACTCATTTTCTTTCGGACTCCTCCAGCTGTTTGACTCTTGCATTCATTTTTTCATTTGTAAAGTCTGTATCAAAGCTGTGTGTCTGTGATTGTTCATGTCACATCTACAAAAAATGTTTCCAGATCTTCCTCCTCTATCAGACATTCTCTCCATACCTGAGAGTGTCCAGTCTCCAGCGTGGATCCTTCAGCCCACTCGACAGCAGCTTCATTCCTGAGTCTCCTGGATGGTTGTAGCTCAGGTCGAGCTCTCTCAGATGGGAGGGGTTGGAGCTGAGAGCTGAAGCTAGTGAAGTACAGCCTTCCTCTGTGATCAGACAGCCTGACACACTACAGACACACAAAGCAGCAAAACGTCTGTAAACACTTCACTGAATAATAACAATTATTATTATTATTATTATAATAACAACAATTATACTTTAATTACTGTTTTTTTAATACAATAACACGTAGGCTGTGTTGTTAGCCATTAAGGACAAAAAGCAAGGGAATGCTAAGGCAAGGATTAAATGGTGAAGAAAGAATGTTGGAAAGGATTCAGGGGAGGAAATGAGTAAGGCTATGGGTGGTAGGAAAGAGTTACAAGATAACTATAAAAGCACAGCTGATGCTGTGAAGGAAACTCAGAAGAAGGTGGCTGGCGTATCCTCTGGACAGAAGAAATAAGACAAGAAGGCTTTATAATTGGGATGGACCGATCTGATATACAGTATCAGTATCGGTCCGATACTGACCTAAATTATTGGATCGGGGGTCATGGCGTCCACCTGAACGGTAGTGAGACTTCGAGCTCCGACCTCAACGTCCTTTAAGTACGCCTAAACAGCGGTTAAAAGCCAACCTCTTAGCGGCTGCCTCACCGACCTAAGCTTCTGCTTTGATCTAAACAGCCAGGATGCCGACTAAATATAGGTCCAAGCCTAAAACAGCCGGAAAGGATGGATCAGACGACGATCCTAGCAACGAACCTGAAACCGAGAAAATGGAAGGAGCTAGTGCTAGCTCCCAACAGACCGAGGCGAGTGTTTTGGCCGCAATTCAGTCGCTGAAAATTCACTTCACTGCTCAACTGCAAGAAGTTTTAACATCAAACCAAGAAATAAAAGACGTAATTGGAGTGTTTTCAGAGAGGCTCACCTCAGCAGAAACTCGCATCAGTAAAGTTGAAGACGATGTCTCTTCTCTCACAAGTAAAGAGGCTTCCCTTCATAAGAAACTTCAGGAACTCCAGCTAAAGGTGGATGACCTCGAAAATAGAAGCCGAAGATCCAATCTGAGACTCTTTGGATTACCCGAGAATACTGAACAAGGAGAAATTACAATATTCTTGCAAACATGGTTAATGGATGTTTTGGGACGGGACGCGCTCCCATCCCCACCTATCATTGAACGAGCACACAGGCTACAAGGCCGAAACACTCCAACTGGCCCACCTCGTGTGATCATCATGAAATTCTTGAATTATCAAGACAAGATGAGGGTGATGAGAGCGGCACGTCTGAAGGGAAAAATAACGCACAACAGATATCACGTTATGTTTTTCCCTGATCTGTCAACGGAGGTCCAGAAACAGCGAAAACAATACAACCAGGTAAAACAACAACTCCGTGAAATGCACATAAACTTCGGACTGATCTTTCCAGCAAAAATGAGGATTTTCCAACATGACAACAGGCTCCTTTTCCACACACCAGCGGAGGTGGAAGATTTCATACGAAAAGTCCGGCAACAAAACGAGGGATAAACTTCACGCCCACTCAGAAACGCTACCATATCAAACACGTGTAACTCTGATGAACAATTCCAAATCGGACATACAATGGCTGCTGGTGTACAGGTATGATATAGATGGCCTTAGATATGTTATGTTTAAATCTTTTCATTCATTTACATTGTGTGGCCACTTCTTTAGTTAATACGGTCGGACCTAAGTTTGAAGCTTCAATCATGAGGACGCTTCATCAGCTCCTTTACATGGATCTGATGCATACCCAAGCCGCAATGACTTTGGGGGGGAAGGTTTTGAGACCTACACCCATGGGAGGTCTCTGGGTTGTTGTTTTTTGTTTTTTTTTTTGTTTATAAGAGATTGTTTTTAAAGTATAGTGCTCTTGAAATAAGAATTTGTGAGTTCCGACAAGAGAGACGAGATGTAGTCAAACCCAGGTCACTAAGGGCACAAACTGTATGAGTAGTTATTCAAATATTGAACTAATTTCCTGGAATGTAAGAGGCCTTAGGAAATATATTAAACTGAAAAGAGTAATGGATAGAATAAAACAATATCACCCAAAGATAGTCTTTATTCAAGAAACACACTTACTCGCGAGTGAAACTGACTGGATAAGGAGGAGATGGCCAGGTCAGGTTTTCTTTAGCCACTTCTCAACATATGCTAGAGGAGTGGCAACACTCATTCATAAATCAGTGCCCATGTGTATTAAAAAAACCATCTTGGACCCTGCAGGGAGATTCATTATTCTACAATGCTCCGTGCTCAACCAAGATTTAATATTAGTTAATGTATATGGCCCCAATATTGACGACCCCAGCTTTTATAATAATCTATTCCTCTCTATTGCAGCCCTCCACGGTGAGATAATTATTGGGGGGGACTTTAATTGTACCCTAGAGCCTAGGCTTGATAGATCATCAGGTTTAGACTCCTCCCACCCAAAATCTAGACAAGCCATACAACACTATGTCGGAATTGAATCTTAAAGATACAGTGGGGCAAAACAGTATTTAGTCAGCCACCGATTGTGCAAGTTCCCCCACCTAAAATGATGACAGAGGTCAGTAATTTGCACCAGAGGTACACTTCAACTGTGAGAGACAGAATGTGAAAAAAAAATCCATGAATCCACATGATAGGATTTGTAAAGAATTTATTCGTAAATCAGGGTGGAAAATAAGTATTTGGTCAATAACAAAAATACAACTCAATACTTTGTAACATAACCTTTGTTGGCAATAACAGAGGTCAAACGTTTACTATAGGTCTTTACCAGGTTTGCACACACAGTAGCTGGTATTTTGGCCCATTCCTCCATGCAGATCTTCTCGAGAGCAGTGATGTTTTGGGGCTGTCGCCGAGCAACACGGACTTTCAACTCCCGCCACAGATTTTCTATGGGGTTGAGGTCTGGAGACTGGCTAGGCCACTCCAGGACTTTCAAATGCTTCTTACGGAGCCACTCCTTTGTTGCCCGGGCGGTGTGTTTTGGATCATTGTCATGTTGGAAGACCCAGCCTCGTTTCATCTTCAAAGTTCTCACTGATGGAAGGAGGTTTTGGCTCAAAATCTCACGATACATGGCCCCATTCATTCTGTCCTTAACACGGATCAGTCGTCCTGTCCCCTTGGCAGAAAAACAGCCCCATAGCATGATGTTTCCACCCCCATGCTTCACAGTAGGTATGGTGTTCTTGGGATGCAACTCAGTATTCTTCTTCCTCCAAACACGACGAGTTGAGTTTATACCAAAAAGTTCTACTTTGGTTTCATCTGACCACATGACATTCTCCCAATCCTCTGCTGTATCATCCATGTGCTCTCTGGCAAACTTCAGACGGGCCTGGACATGCACTGGCTTCAGCAGCGGAACACGTCTGGCACTGCGGGATTTGATTCCCTGCCGTTGTAGTGTGTTACTGATGGTGACCTTTGTTACTTTGGTCCCAGCTCTCTGCAGGTCATTCACCAGGTCCCCCCGTGTGGTTCTGGGATCTTTGCTCACCGTTCTCATGATCATTTTGACCCCACAGGATGAGATCTAGCATGGAGCCCCAGATCCAGGGAGATTATCAGTGGTCTTGTATGTCTTCCATTTTCTGATGATTGCTCCCACAGTTGATTTTTTCACACCAAGCTGCTTGCCTATTGTAGATTCACTCTTCCCAGTCTGGTGCAGGTCTACAATACTTTTCCTGGTGTCCTTCGAAAGCTCTTTGGTCTTGGCCATGGCGGAGTTTGGAGTCTGACTGTTTGAGGCTGTGGACAGGTGTCTTTTATACAGATGATGAGTTCAAACAGGTGCCATTCATACAGGTAACGAGTGGGGGACAGAAAAGCTTCTTACAGAAGATGTTACAGGTCTGTGAGAGCCAGAGATTTTCCTTGTTTGAGGTGACCAAATACTTATTTTCCACCCTAATTTACGAATAAATTCTTTACAAATCCTGCCATGTGAATTCATGGATTTTTTTTTCAAATTCTGTCTCTCACAGTTGAAGTGTACCTCTGGTGCAAATTACTGACCTCTGTCATCATTTTAAGTGGGGGAACTTGCACAATCGGTGGCTGACTAAATACTTTTTTGCCCCACTGTATATGGAGATTAAGAAATCCAACAGGGAGAGAATACTCTTGCTACTCAGCCAGTCATAATAGCCGCAGTCGCATAGATTATTTTCTGATTTCAAACTTTCTTATTTCCAGAATTAACAGCTGTTCATATAAAAGTGTGCTTATATCTGACCACTCATTAACTAGGCTTAACTTCTCAGTTACAACAGCTTTTAGACGTAACCCTATTTGGCGTTTAAAACCACACTGGCTGCACAATCAAAATTTTTTGGAATATGTAGGTAAAAATATTGATGACTATTTTTACTTTAATAAATCCGAAACCACAGCCTCAGTAAGATGGGAAGCCTTTAAGGTGTTTATTCGTGGGCAGATGATAAGCTACACCAAAAGCAAAGCAAATAAAAATTATACTGAGATGTTGGACCTCAAAGATCAAATAAAAGAAATGGAACTTGAGATAAACCTGAATGACTCTAAAGAAAACCAACAAAATTTTTAAGATTAAAAGCAAAATATGATAAATTAACTACTGAGAAAGCCTCAGGAGGACTCATTAGACTGAGACAGACCTACTATGACCAAGGGGAAAAGGCAGGAAAACTTTTAGCATGGCGCATAAAAACGCTACTGAACGAACAAACAATAAATGAAATTAGAACTGCAGACGAAAACACCACAGATCCTCATAGAATAAATGAACTCTTTGAACTCTATTACTCACAACTATATACCTCAACAGGAGATACGACTCGAGAATCACTAGAATCCTTCTTTGACTCAATAAATACCCCTTCACTCCTTGAAGAAGCTCGATGTGAATTAGACTCTCAGTTATCTATGAATGAACTGTCGATCGCAATTGATAAATTAAAAATGGGAAAAACTCCCGGCCCAGATGGAATTCCACTAGACCTTTTCAAAATATTTAAAGACAAATTAATATCCCCTTTGTACGACATGCTGGTGGAAAGTTATGACCTAAAAGAGCTTTCCCCTTCCTTGCGTAATGCACTCA